GCCCGGATCACGAACATCGAAAACGGGCCAAGCTTGACTGCAGCTGTCTAGCACAGCACACCAAGGGTGCGACCCTGACCAACTTGGCCAAAACGTGCGGTATCTACTAGTCGAAGGAGTGGCTTAGGATCAATGACCCTGTTAAGCATCAGATGTGGGTGCTTCAGCGCTAGAGAGCAAAACTGCGAGAAGGAATTGCATATAACCCGCGTATTGTGATGTCTTTTCCAACAGATCCCACTACACTCTCGTGGTGCAGTGGTAAGCTTGCGAGTTATTTACCCCTGTGGACGACGAGATACTGCTTGTGGTAAATACCTAACTTCGCAGCATCCTTTTTGTTCGATCCCGGGTGATGGCTCTTTCCTTTTTTTATATCGTTTGATCTTATGAAGACTTTTTATCAAGACCTTGAGTCTCAGCCTAGGTCCTCACACAGAATAACCGTTATTCATTCTGACTTCCTTTCCTAAATTCCAAGTACAGCCCCTATTTAGATGTGCAACAGTGAAATCACAATCCACATCATCTCGACTCTTTTTCCCAGAGTAATTGAACAACGAGAGCCATCAGGATGCCTATTAACGGGTAAGCATTCGTAAAGTTGATCCTAAAGATGTCGCATACCTGAGGCCAGCAGAGTGACTTGTGCGTATAGTCCACTGATGTGGGTGAATGCTGCAACTGCCCCCTCTCTGTTTGGTTTGACGGGTTCGTCCGTCATACCCGTGTTAAATGGTTTGTTACCCTCAGATGCCAAGTTTCTTGATGTCGGGGCATCATGAGTGATGCGCTCTCTCGTTGCTTCTTGGGCCAGTTGCTCCTCTTCCAGCCGCTTATTCTTCTTCAGGAGTGATATGAGACGATCTTGGTTCGGGAACTCAAGAGTCTCGATCCATTCCTGAAACGTGAGCCTCACATCCTTATTCAAGGGGAGCCTTCCAAAGAACCCAGGCTTTGTGCCCATCAAAACAGATGAAATTACCGAAACGCGCACCCTTTTCCGCCCAAACTCAAACCCCAGTTGAAAAGAATACCCGTGGCTACCCCTCTGGACGTTCTGTATTGCAGAGACGGATAGCGTAAAGTGTGGATCGGCCCCGTAATCAAGAAAAGCTTCCAGCGCTTTGCCAATCTGAAATTGCTGCTGAGCCGGGAAAGGGGGTAGATGTCGGAACATGGCGCGTAACCCTGCGAAGCAACACGTGATTCGGAACAAATACCACTGCCATACGCTTAATTCCAGGTTGATCAATGATTTGCTTGGAGAGACCGAAGGATGGGCTGAATCACCCGGCGCCCAGAAGGACACTGAGTCAGGCGATATCAAGTTGTTGTTGAAAAGGAGCGCTAGGATAGAGGAGCTGGCTGTCGGATGAGAGAGCTCATGGTTGACGGTAGAGTCGAGAAAGGCATTGGTTAGCAGAACCGCCTCGTGGGGATTGTCGATGCTGGATGGGTCATTGTCGATTTTCCATTTTAGGTACCCAACGTGACCTTCCCTTATGGCCTGGAGCAAAATCCCAAAGGAACAGCTCATTTCATCAGCGGAATTGTTATAGACATCCACTTTTTCCGAAGGCAAGAAGCGCCTAGACGCGACCGTGGTATACACGCCATCCCTATGAAGCACGTTGACCAGGCTGATGACGCAGTCATCAACCGGCCGATATCGGAAAGTGTCATGGTATCTGTAGCGGTTTGCCAAGTGTTCAAGATACTCGAAGGGCGCTCTGTCCAGACCATTTCCCAGCCGCATGGAGATGATTTCGCCAACAGGAAAAAGACGCGGAGTTATGGTCGGGGTCGGTTTATGTGTGGCACAACTAATGTGAGATAAAGCGTCCACGGCGTCGAATCCTCGCAGGGTGGCCTGCCAATCGGCGTCTACCATCGTGGTGTTTAACTCCAAGAAGTCGTATATTGAACGGTGCGTAAAATCGACCTGATACTCAAGGTCATACTCGTTGCGGGTGGGGCGAACTTCGGGTCTGTGAACCGCCTCAACCAACCCCTTACACCAAGTGTTCAACTGCTTTCGCGTGTGGGCAACTTTTGCCTCTCGTCGAGCCTTTTCAAGTTTGTGGGCAGTTTCCAGAAAGGCGAAGCGGTTATTTTTCTCATACTCTTCGAGGAACGACAAGCCGTACAAGTACAGCCGAATACCGTGCCTCATTCCTGTGAGCAGTAGTGTAAACACTTGGCATGCTCTCCTGGCATTGACCTTGCTGATAGACAGGAACAAGTGTTTGAACAAGTCGTCGAGCTCATCCGGAATGGAACCTAATAAAGTTGTCAACTCGTCCTGGGTCGCATCATGCTCAAGTTGTTCGCGCACAGTTTTGACTACCAAAGTCACCCACAAAAAGATGCCGCGGGCCCTGGAAGAAATCTCCCTAACCAGAAACTCTCTCGTTATGGCGTTTGGTATGTGCTTCAATTTGTCGTGTGTATAGAGCTCCATGTCGTGTTCTGTGAACTCGTGAAGCCGTATTCTTTTGTCGGCCTGGAAGGCGTTCATGAATATGTTGTGCTCTCGACTGGAAACGCAAACCTTGAGGTTTCCCCTTGACGCCTTGGTCCATCGGAGGAGGAAATCCACGAGGTGTCGTTGATCTTCTTGGATCGTGCCTTCGTACTCATCCAGACCGTCGATGAAGAAACAGAAGCGGTATTTGTTGTGAATACCCGGGTTCTGAACCAAGCGTACCAAAGCATCACGGATTTCTTTGTTAGAGATTTGGACGGCCGACTGGTTATGCCATGGCTGCGCCTGCATTTGCTTCCAGTGCTCGGGCATGACCTCAGGTATCAGCTCTTGGCATGTTTTGAGTGTGGCGTGTAGGAGAGCACGGAGGAGACCTGCCAGGTTCTTCTGGAGTTTAGAACCTGGCTTCCAGAAGAAGAAGTTGGCGAAGACGGGTATTCTTGTTCCTAAGCGATACCAGTCAGTTGTCCGTTCAAACCATGACTAGGTAGGTACATTTAGCTGCACTTACCGGCCCATCGGTTCAGTTCATATTTTGTAGCCGGATGCTCATAAAGGAGTCTCATCATTGTCGACTTCCCTGATCCCATTTTTCCAGAAATATGAAAGATGCCGTGCGAGGATGAAAGCCATTTAATGAAACCCCTTCCCGCAGCACGCTTTGCTCTAATCGATCGCCTCGCTCGAATCGATTGCCACGTAAGTCCGCCGTAGCTGCTCTCAAGCCTTGGAACCATCGCCGGCGAGCAAGCTTTCTCGTTCCCTTCATAACGGTCCTCATGTTTGTCATTCTCGTCTTCCATTTTTTCGTCACGTTCACCTTCTTCATCATTTTCTTGATCGTCGCTCTCGACCTCCGAGTCGCAGTCAGAGTTGCAGGAGTTATCCGGGTCCCCGTCGAGACCCGGTTCGCCAAATAATGATCGCAGGGACTTGAGAGGGGCATCATAGACGAAGGCGGAGGCGTCGAACATCCATTTGAATGTATCCAGATGAGCTTCCTCCACCATTTCGAATCGTCTTGTCATCTCTTCGAAACATAGGCTGTTCAATATTCTCCGTTGGATAGTGGCATCAACAGCCTTTCCCAGGAGTTGCATGATCTGACACAGTTGTTCTGTAAGCTCCTTGTTGGTAGTGCCTACACTTTGGCGGAGCTGGTTGGCGTTGATCGTCAACTTCTCTAATGCAGACGCGTTGCTGCTAGCTGAGGCGATGAGACGATTCAGGGTAGCCGCAGTATTGCGACTAGTTGTCGAGAAGATGTCAGCCCAGCGGGTAGACGGCGATGGGAATGAGAAGGGGACAAACCTTGTGAAAAACGTCAGTTGAAGATGCATTTGAGTGGCACATTGGTCTAGCCGGCGCTCAAAGTCCATCAGATCCCTCTCATTGACTTTTGCCTTGAGCGTCGCCCAAACGCTTTGGGTTCTCGAGGTGGGATCCTTGGCCTTTGTTTTGTCCAACATCTTTGCCATGTCTTCCGCAAGTTCGTGGCATTTCGCTGCCAGGCTGGCCAGACCTTTGTCCTCTCCGGCAAGCCCTGGCTCGCCTGGAGGCTGCAAAATGGCGCCAAACCGGCGCATCTCATCTGCGACGAACTCGCGGTTCTGATTCTCCTTCGAGTACCCATCCTGGGATTCGTGAATCTTGAGTGCGCCTTTGACGAGATCCTTAGCGAAGGTGACGAATGATATGATACCAGATACGAGACTGATGGCTGTGACTGGATCCATGAGAGGCTCGGAGGATTGATGTTGCCATCAATAAAGCGCAAGCCTCGTGCAACTTGGAGGTTTTGTCACCTCCACTGTAAAGCCCGGGAAGGAAGTCAACGTGGCTGCGATTTTCTTTCTTCAATTGTTGATAAGTTTCTTGGGCGGTAAGGTCCTTGGCTTCCTTCTTCTGTGAAGGCTTGAGGGGCCGGTCATTTCTGCCCCAAGAAGAGCCTAGGGCTGTGCAATCTATCTGCCTCAGGCACCGTCGCACAAGGGCGCTGCTCGAGGAATTCTGTGATGGAGTTACTGGTCCTGATTGGTTGTCTTATTTCCAGTGATTGGCTGATGGGCTTGTATTAATTCATGACAGGAATGTAACACAAGGCACTGACAGCCTACAGGCCGAGGACAACACACCTCGCATGTACTCGGCAATTCGGATTTAGTTTCCCAAGTTGGCACCGGCGGGAGGGGACCTGAGCCGCACTAACAAGTCATGTTTTGTTTGTTGTGACTACCTAGGTACCTAGGTAGGTACCTATGTAGAGCCTAGCGAATCGTGTTGAAAGTGTACCTAGGTATTTGCGATAGGAGATTTTAATAGAGTAAGGTAGGAGAGGAAATAAGATAAAAGGGTGTAGGGCGTATGTGGTGTTAATTCTAGGATATGGGAAGCTAAAAAAACATTCCCTCCCCTTCGTTTCTGCCCTCCATCAGGGATGCATGAGATAAAAAGACAAAACTACAAGTGAACAGAGGCAAAAGAGAAGCACATCGCGTCTGGACGGGAATTGAGCCCGACGTGGGGGTCGAACCCACAACCTTGAGATGGGTGATACACCTGTGTAAGAGTCTCACGCTCTACCGATTGAGCTAGCCGGGCGATGCGTTATTTGTTGAAGTTTCGGCATGTTGGAAGAGTTTTTCTGTGGATGGTGTTGAGGGTCGCTGGATGGAGCCTCGAACCCACTGTGCCCGTTCAACCCTGGACCAACCGCTTCCGGCTAGCTCTCCCCCACCTCGGGCACGCACGAACCAGGGGCTGGGGTCCAGCAATACCCTGTTTCAGTTAGCCAAATTCAAGCAAAACTTGCATCGGGTTAGCCCGCCATCTCGAGCGAACCTTCCTGATCGCCACTGCAACCAAACCGTGGCTGCGGGTCGCCAATAGTTACGGTACCTACCTAAAGTTACCGTCTGACATGCATATTTCACGCCGAAGCCTTCCCACGCAACGACATCGTCTCTGAGAGCCGCCTAGGCCGACCGACGGGTCTGGACTACACCGCCCGTACACAGTGGACTAGGACACGCCAATAGTCGATACACGTGCCCAATTGAGGAGGGCGCCAATCTTTTTTCCGAATCCACCATCGCGAGCACTGTCCCTTTCGAGTTTGGAGCATGGTGTCAGACTCCAATGTAGAAATCGCTGTGACGTCGGCGCTTGCCGAAGAACAGTCTTGATGCTGCTAGACTCGGCCGGGTGTAGTATGCCGGGGAACGAGTAACAAGGGTGGTAAGTGAAGGAGGTGGTTATGACTTAGGTATGATGGTTCGACCTTGGAGGATATAAGACTCGAGTTACTCCACGACGGTCCCAGCCATGCCTTCCATCACGGTCGGCACACTTGTTTTATGACACAACGCCAGCATGGTCCGCTCACTTGTTCTCGCTCTAGTTGCGTTCGCCCTCGGGGCTGCCGGTGCGCGCGACCCTGGCCACCAAGCCCACCATCTCAGCTCTCATCCCTCCCCGGTTGCCGACTTGGGCAAGAATTTGCCAACCCAGGTCAGCCCCCGCCGTCCGAGGGCAACATCCGACACGGGCGCACTTCTCTGTGGAGCAAACGAGGTCTGCCTCGATGGAAGGTCCGTTGCTTGGTCCTACCTAGTTCGTCTGCCGGTCCCGTGGCTGATTCAATTGTAGCTGTTGTGGACCCCTTGGTATCTGCGGGTACGGGCCCGACTTCTGCGGCGCCGGCTGCTTGAACAACTGCGATGCGAAGGCCATGTGCGGAATCTACAGCGAAGGAGGCACCGAAAAGTGCGGCATGAACCTTTGCTGCGGCGCTGCTGGTTGGTGCGGTGTAAGTTGCCCCTTGGGTTATCTTCCCTTCTTCGCCGCGACTAACTCACCCGCAGACCTCTGAAACCCACTGTATCGGCCCCGATTATTGGCCGTGCCAGGAAGGCTATGGATCGTGCCAGATCGTTCAACCTCCCTCTTGTGATGCCAACGCCGGCTCGGCCAATGGGCGCCGCATCGGCTACTACCAGAGCTGGAACGTCCGCGACCGCGTCTGCATGAAGGTGGCGCCGAGAGACATCCAGACAGCGGGCTACACCCACCTGTACTTCTCCTTTGCCAGCATCGACCCCAACACCTTCGCCGTGGTGCCAGCGAACCCGGGCGACGTGGCCTTGATGCACGAGTTCACCGCGCTCAAGTCGTCCACCCTCCAGACGTGGATCGCCATCGGGGGCTACAGCTTCAGCGACCCGGGCCCGACGCACACGACGTGGAGCGACATGGTATCCACGCAAGCGCGCCGCGCGGCCTTCATCCAGTCGCTCCTCGTCTTCATGCAGACGTACGGCTTCCAGGGTGCCGACCTCGACTGGGAGTACCCGGTAGACGAGAAGCGAGGGGGGCGCAAGGGCGACTCGGCCAACTTTGCGCTCCTCGTCAAGGAGATGCGCCAGGCCTTTGGCTCGCAGTACGGCATCAGCCTCGCGCTCGCGCCCGATTATTGGTACCTGCGCTACTTCGACGCCAAGGCGATGGAGCCGTACGTGGACTGGTTCGGCTTCATGGCGTACGACCTGCACGGCTCGTGGGACTCCGACGTGGGCACGCTGGGGTCTATTGTCCGCGGCCAGGCCGACGTCCGCGAGATCTACAACAACACTATGCCGTTGTGGTACGCCGCCCTCAACCCTGCCAAGATCAACTTTGGCCTCGCCTACTACGGCCGGGGTTACACCCTAGCTGACCCCTCGTGCAACACCCTTGGCTGTGGGTTTACCGGCCCTAACAAGCCGTTCCCCTGCACCACCTACCCTGGCGTCATGTCCCTTGTTGAAGGCGAGAAGTTTGCCCGTGACAACGGCATCACCCCGAAGCTTCTCGCGGGCGCCATGATGAAGGAGCTCACGTGGGACGACCAGTGGGTTGGGTATGATGATCACCAGACGATCGCAATGAAGACGCGGTTTGCGAGCGGCCTCTGCTTTGGCGGCACCATGGCTTGGAGCATCGACTTTAACTCAGGCGCGGGGAGCGGTCTTGAGCCCCCCGTGACCACAGACGGCACTTGTGGCGCGGCAAATGGAAACACAGTTTGCGGAAACGGGTTCGGCAACTGCTGCTCGGCATCGGGATGGTGCGGCGACAGTGCCGCACATTGTGGAAGCGGATGCCAGAGCGGCGAATGCCTCGTGAGTGCCACCACCCTGGTTTTGAAAACAGCAAGTGGAAACTAACTTTGAACGCAGACTGGGTTCGTCACTACCGATGGGACTTGTGGCGCCGGCCACGGTGACTCAATCTGCGGCAACTGGGCGGCTGGCGGCTGCTGCTCTTCGTCGGGGTTCTGCGGCAACTCTGACGCGCATTGCGGCGTTGGCTGCCAGAGCGGGTGCGACGGGAAGGGAGGCAACAACAGCACGCAGACCAACTTCACGACCCGAAGGTTGATGGCCCCGTCCCCTCGATTGTGGACGACGTAATTAACACGAAGAAGCGCCGGGGTTTCAAGCATGTCCGCAACAACTTCCCTTGGTTCCCCTGGCTTGTCGGGCACTCCGAACTCGAGCCGTGTGCCAACCATCTCGCCAACAGCGGCACCTTCAGAAACAAATGCACCATTTCCGAGCGAGGTCGAGGAATCGGATGACCCCCTGCCCACGCTAACTGTCAAACCCTCTTTCCAACCTTCCATGTCTGCATGGTGATTAGGCGGGATGGTGGAACACAACTGGCTACCCGGCCCTTATCGGGTGATTCATTTGTAGGGCAGTCAACCAAGTTAGGGATCTTGTTGGGAAGACCTTTCAATATGTACATATTTACTTTGGAAAGCCACTGAGCGATGCATGAAATATGTACATATATGCAACGATCCACTGTCTTTAGATCTGTACATGTACGGTTCTCCTCCTTTGTAACACTTCCCCCGATCCTTCCATTCTACGCAACACGTGCCTTGAACTGGCGCTGGCCAAGCTGCAGAAGGTCGCGCAGGCCGAAGCCCTTTTTCCATCCTTTCCCCCGCTCCCTAGCCTCCTTGATTCTCCAAAAGATGGTTCCCTGGGTTGTGAGCACGGATCCAAAACCGTGTAATGGCAAGCGCACTTACGTCGTATGTCTGCCGAAGATCCTCCTTCGACACGCGTTCATCTTTCTGCAGTAGCAGCCAGGTGGTGCCAAACTCGAAAATGGCCGCTCCCCACTGTGCCTTATTAGTACTATCGCCTCCATGGGAAAACGCCGGAGATGTACCCCAAACGGATCAGCAACCAGCCGATTCCCCTTGATCATGTGCCACAGCTCGCTAGCCGACAACGACCCAGCCCCACGAACGTCCCACTTGGCGAACATATCCTCAAACATCTGCGGCACGAACCTCCCCTCCTTGTCGTACGTGCCCGAGTCGGAGCCATGCTATCCTCTTCAGTTATACTCCCCCAACAAAACAGGCAGATCTATACACTCACCTTCGCCTTGTGGATCGAGCCCACATACACGCGGAACCGCAGATCAGGCCACCACGAGACGGCCAGCCGCGTGGGGTACGAGAAACTCGCGTTAATGATGACCATCGCGAGCAGCGAGAACAGCACGCTGAACCCGAGGTCCCGGAACCCCACAAAGGTGTCCCGCGGGTAGATCTCGCCGTCGCCGTCCCGGTCCCAGAACAGCACATGCTGCTGCAGCACCGTCTGCACACCACCGTATGAGCCAGCTGCTTGCACAACACACGCACACACTCCCATAATTCATCCGCAGCAATGATTAGAAAATACCACCACAACCACAGAACAGCAACAAGGTGAGAAAGGAAACACAAAAGATAGGTACGTACATAATCCCGCACCGCCGCGGCCCTAGACGTGGGACTACCCTCCGGCACCTCGGCCGACGGGGCGAGGTTGGCACGGGCAATGGCCGGCTTGATGAGGTACTCGTCGGTCGCGGTGGCCTGCTGGCGCTCCGAGGTGGCGGGACAGTTTGGCGCTGTGTGGTCGAAGGGGAGGGTTGGCGAGGGGGTGGAGATGATGGAGGGGTTGTGGGCGTTCATGTTGGTTGGTGTAGTGGTATTCAGTGATGTTTCGGGTGTGTTCTCGGTTTGGTGTCGGCTGTGGTAGAGATGGGGGTTGGATGTTTGCCTGGGGTTGGTTTCGGGGGCCGGTGGTGGTGGTTTAGTGTATATGTGGTTGTTCAACTCATGTCCTGTCACTCCCGTGCCGTTGCCATGTTTCCGTTGCTTTGTGTTTCTGACGTCATGGAACGGTCTCTCGTCATCGGCGGTGCCTCGTAACTGTCATGTACCTATATACCTACGTACCACACCTCGGACGCCAAGAACACCAGATGTGGAACATTGATCGTTTCATCGAACAGTTGGAAGTCATCAATGACGGCCGGAAACGACTAGACACGATTGTCGTAACTGACGACATACCGATTCGGAGGTCTAAATATTTGGAACCAGTCAGTCAACGTGAAAACAGAGCTAGTCGCCGCCCGTGCCATCACAGATTTATTACACGAGGTATGTAGGTACCTAATTACCTATTTACGTTAGCCATCCCCCCACCCAAAAACCGCTTGATAAAAGGGGGAGCCTCTTCTCGATCCCCACAGCAACCCTTCCTCAA